GATGATGAAATTCCCAGGCTCCCCGAACGCTCGTACCTACGTGCGGTTGAGACTCATGTTAGGAGTCTCTGATGATCTGGAGGATCCAGGGGCCCAAGAGCCCCACGAGCCGAGATGACGCCGCCGCATGTCCTTCTTGGCACTATAGAGCCATAACAAAACGTTGCGTCGGATGTTTGTAGGATAACCTCACTCACGACTAGGATATAAATGACACTCCGGGAACTGTGGCCAGATCGGATCTCAAGCCAACTCAGACCAGATGCTTTGGCCGGGGATTGGTGCAGATTTGGGTAAGAATGTGCTTACAACAAGCTATGATATTAGCTTGGGTACGTCGTGTGGCTTCCCAAACCGTCGGTTTCAAATTGAATGAACAATCCCAAAAGATATTACATATTAATTACCCCATAAAGCCCCTGTAGCCAAGTGGCGGAGGCGCCGTTCTTATAATTACAGCATATTGATTACTTCATATCACTCTCAGGCCCAGACAAATACAGCACCATAACCCAGTCTCAGCTTCGAGCGGCAGGAGCGAGACACTGTAGGAGATATTTCGATCGTTGGAAACTTCAAGATTGAAAGACATAGTGTACAATTTGAGACATACCAGAAATGAATACTCAGTCCAACCCAGGAATGCTCTTTCTCGGCTCTGAACTGCGCCTCATTGGGCTTTCGCATCGGCACAGAGACTCAGTTCGTCCCCTTAAAGTATCGACGGCCGAAGTCAAGGATGGAGATAATACGATCGTCTAACTCCTTCATTCCCCTTCCAAACGGGAGCTCCATATAGTCTTGATTGTCAGCCCCTCGCCCATACCCTCTTGTACGCCTACAAGTCTCCCAGGCTATGGTCCCGATTTTGTCGGTCAGGTATTTCAAATGGGTCGTAGGTGTTTGGTGTTGAAATATGCATTTGACTAAGATTTGAACCCCGTGGAACTCAGTCCGATCATATTAAGAAAAGAAAAGCTCAAAAATATTTCTGCTCCGTCTACTTTAGCTGTGAAAATCCCGCTCAAAGCACTCAAGCAATGCTGGCATACCTATCGCACACAAGCGACTTTATATAGCATTAATCTGAATTCCCCAGATATATCAAAAAGCTCCGAGTGAAAACTTCAAAGACGCTTCACGTGGATCCCCAGACAGGAGAGAAAGGGAGAACTTCTGCGTGAAAAGCTTAACCCACAATGTTGATCTGAAGAAACTGACCCTTAACGCGAACATCTAGCCTAGAGTATACCGAGATAGTTACTTCAAGGGAGGAGGTGGTTTCGTGGCTTTCTCCATTCACTGGAGGAGTTGCAAGGGTGAGGACAATGCCAGCGCCGTGCCAACTCCGTGCCAATATATGCCAATGAAGCGCCAATTATTCCAAAGCTGATTGAGCCAGCTTGGCCCTGAACAATGAGAATTTGCCGTACAAGAGGCCTGGACGGCACATAAGGCGACCTTTTCGCTGTTATCTCAAAACTGATGATCTCTGTATTCTCTGTGAATCTGGGTCCCTGTTTCAATTCACTATATATTGGCGCCGCACTTTCGCAAGACGCTCTCTCTAGCTCAACTCTCACAGCAGTGCGCACTGGTACCCATCGTGCTCAGCTGATCACAAAAGAAGTGAACATGAAGCTTAGTAACATGGTAACTTTTGCCCTCCTCGGTGCCGCCACAGCTGCGCCAACTTCCACTCTTGATCAAAAGTCAACCGGATCCATTGCTAAGCGCACTTCCATCACGGAGACTTGCAATATTGGATACGCTAGCACCAACGGAGGGACGACTGGTGGCGAGGGCGGATCAACGGCCACCGTCTCTACCCTGACTCAGTTCACCAAGGCTGCCGAGTCGAGCAGCAAGTTCAACATTGACGTCAAAGGCTCCATCTCTGGCAGCGCAAAAGTACGTGTTGCTGCAGACAAGACCATTGTGGGTCAGAAGGGGTCCAAGATCACTGGTGCCGGCCTATACATCAAGGGCTTCTCCAACGTCATTGTTCGTAATCTCGCCATCTCGAAGGTCAAGGAGGCCTATGGCGACGCCATCGGTATCGAGTCCTCCACGAATGTCTGGATTGACCACGTTGATGTATCATCCGACATGAGCAGTGGAAAAGACTACTACGATGGGCTCATCGACATCACCAGAGATTCTGACTGGATCACCATTTTCAACTCGTACATTCACGATCATACAAAACGTCGCTCATTGGTCATGTCGATACCTACACTACCTTAGCGATAAGGGCAAACTCCACGTTACCTATGCAAACAACGACTGGAACAATGTCAACTTGCGAAATCCTTCGATGCGCTTCGGTACTGTGCACATTTACAATAACTCCTACAACAGAGTCGGCAGCACAGGTGTGAACACTCGAATGAGTGCCCGAGTCCATGTCGAGTCCTCTGTTTTTGAGAATTCGAGCAAGAAGGTCATCTTGTTCGCCGACTTCAGCCAGACCGGCTACGCCACAGTCTCCGATATGTCATACGGTAGGGGAGAGAACACAGCGCCTAAGGGTGACTTTGGTTCTAGCAAAATCCCTTACAGCTTTTTACTTTACGGAAAAGCCAACGTCAAGAGCAAGGTTCTGGGAACGGCAGGACAGACTCTAAGCCTTTGATATCTTAATCTCTTCGTCGCTCGTTTGACTCTCGCATTTTGGAATGCCACTTACAATATAGACTTCAATAACTCAAGCAGGGGCCTGGACACACGCGACTGAGTTAGGTGATTGAAGATTACCTGGGCCTGTTTCTACTGTGATGTCGTCTATGCTTGCATGGACTTTTACCATTCTTATAAACATTCTCGACGGCATCTTGAGCCGCTATTATTTTACAAAACCACTTCAGATTATGAGTCATGAGTGACGTCTTCGACAGGGATCATTAGTGCCACATTAATGATCTTGTTAAAGGGACCAAATAAATCTTTTGCAACTTGGAAATGGCCCCTGTCAGATAACAAAACATATCATTGTGAAAGTGGCTCAAATATCAGGGGCTCAGGATCTAATAGACATCGGGGTCTGAGTCTAGCTGACAAAACTTCGTAACCAAGACGAACCTAACTTAGGTTTCAGACTACCATGTCCGAAGAATGGCAGCCGATGTATGAACGGGCGGACGACTGCAGCTTGATGCCTGTGCTCAAGCGAAAAGCCTGGTCTGAGTCCTGCGGATTCTGGAAAAGCGATGGCAGCCGCTTGTGTTATGCGGTTAATCGCGACTTGAGCCGTTGGTATGAGGTTGTGGAGAGTTCCTCATATCCTCTGCAAGACTCTCGGTAGGTGTTCTGGCCGCCGCGACAAAGGCTTACTTTGCAGAGGCATAAATTAATGAGCTGAAGCCACGCTATGCCGCCGGCGTTCAGGCTACAGCTAGCATTTGACTGACCTAGGTGACTAGACAGAAATTTCGCAACTAAGGAGCGGAAATTGAGTGGAATAATCGCAACGCCCTGAACCCGGCGGTGACGTTATTAAGCTTAGTCGTAATTCATTCATCTTTATTTCAGTCCGGAGATATATTGGAATTACATACCGGGCTTCTACGTCCTTCTTCATTACGTAGTCTACGAACGCGATGGCTTTGACCCGTCAACTTCTTGCGCGCTTATGGCCTCAATGAGCTCATTATGCCCACCTACCTAAAAGCATTATCGCTCGGCTATTTCGACCTCATTCTTTAAGTACACGTCGATTTTCCTTCTAGTAGGTTGATAATCAATTAGCTAAACCGGGAAGTCATAGTGCCCCAGTTCGGCTACCCTACTTTACCCTATTTTGTTAATAATACTCTACCCTATATTGAGATCATCGAACGGCCCCCATGTGTAAAGCTGAATCTTATACCTTGAGTCGTTTGTAGCGACGTGTTCGTCAACCTAGCATTGCCGCCACCTTAGCTGGCACTCTCTTTAGTCCTGCCTTCAAGACATTACTATTGTTCGATCAAGATCTTCCTCGTCTATCCTTGCGTATATTGCTTCAATATGGGCGCTAGACGTGTATTTCTCTCGGTCTTTGCCGGACCGTGCAAGATTGATGAAGTTTGCGCCCTTGACCCAATCAATGATGAAACCATTGCCAGTAAGAAAGCGGGTGTTGTACTGTAAGCCCTTGTGCATAGTGTTTTGGTTTAGTAACCTGTCACAGCAAACCTTACCGGCCCCTTTCTATCTTGGAGCCTTTGTTTTCTTTCTTTCTTGTTTTCTTAATGTCTCTTCTTGCAATGAGACTGCTAGTCAACTGGCCTCGACAACTTCTTGACAATTTGGTAATGTAAGCTAGATGCTAGCCTGGTAAACCCCTTCTTACCTATAAGTACCGCGAGTCTTGCTATCTCAAAAATGGTGATGAAAATGCCAGAGCACTCCAGCGATCTTTCGTATTGATTACCCTGACGGTGAGTGGATCTTCAAGCTGTAGGAGGAGCGCTTGGCGCCTTATGTATCCGTTCTTTCAGGCCTGTGCTATTCTCAAACATGGTATGCCTCAAGAGAGACATCAAGGTGATGCTCTGCTGCTGCGTGAGTATACCCTATTGTCAAAGTGGTCCGCGAGTGTATTTGGCGGCCGAATTGCGGCTACCGAGGCCCATAAAAAGCACTGGGCGTGAGCAACTCCGGCAACTTCATGCACCTACTCTCCAGTTCTATAGGCGATGTGGTATATCTTGTGGGTCGATGCCAAGCCAAACACGACCCAATCTGTTGAGACTCCCACCGGAAGCAGTACGACTAATGGTCTGTAATACGAAGCTCGGCAGTACCACCTTCTAGAATTGTAAGTCCTTCCGAGTGATGTATGATAATAGTAATCCCCTCATTGTCAAATACTACCTTCCTCGTTATGTTGAGCTGACTTCTCGATAGATCTAACCACATATCAGTTGAATATAAATGAGAAATGCTCTGCACATTATTAGCTGAGAGACTGCATTACACTATTGTGTAGACCCCTTTGAAAAATTTCCCTATCCACTATGTGGCTGGCGCGACTTCTCACTTTCCTAGTTTGGGCATTGTCCTCATGGGAATCGGATGGATATGTCTGGCCTTCGCGATACGACTTCTTGGAAGACTTTCTCGCAATTCATTCCGGAGCCACTATTTTTGGCTTCAGTAGCAGTACAAATTGACCCCATGTGTGAAGCCCTCGCTTGTGATCTTTGCTAACCTAATATTAGTTGTCGCCTCTTGCGGTAACGGTCAAAACAATGTCGGTCGTCAAAACTCCGCTGAATGGATCCGAGCCGCGTTCCACGATGTTGCTACCCATGACAAGGGAGCCGGCACTGGTGGCCTCGATGCATCTCTCATGTACGAGCTAGACCGCGATGAGAACCTTGGAAAGGCATTCAATCGTACATTTGCAGACATGTCTAGTTTTATCAACCCAAGAGCTAGCGCCGCCGATCTGCTCGCACTTAGTGTAGTGACCGCCGCGGCTGGGTGTGGTGGCCAGAAGATTCCTTTCCGAGCTGGCCGTATTGACGCTATCATGGCTGGGCCTCCTGGAGTTCCGAAGCCTGAACAATCTCTGGAAAGTCATAGGACGACTTTTCACCGAGCCGGATTCAACGATAGCGATATGGTTGCGCTCGTAGCCTGTGGCCACACACTCGGCCGAGTTCACGGAGACGAAAACCAACATGTGACGGGCGGCGAGATGTCCAATACGAATGTGGTCAGCTTTGACAATACTCCTGCCGCCTTCGACACCGCCGTCGTTCGTGGATATCTCCAGAACGACGGTGTCAATCCGTTGGTGTTCAACCATAACGACACCCTAAATTCGGATAAGAGGATCTTCGGCGTTGACGGCAACATCACTATGCAGGCTATGGTAGACAGTGTCACGTTTCAAATCACCTGCGCAAGTGTATTCGAGCGAATGATCAACACGGTTCCTGATTCCGTCATCCTGAGCGACCCGCTAGAGCTAATCGACATCAAGCCGTACATAGACACTCTAGACCTTAGCAATGACGGCACAGCAATCATCTTTAAAGGGCGAATCCGCGTGCGTACAACAAATCGCGACCCGGAGGGATTCGGCATTGCTATTGAAATCTCTCAACGCAACGGACAACGAACACTCATCCAAACCTCACGAGATCGTTTCCAGGGTGGGCTGTCCACGGGTTTCTTTGGAGAGTCTTTTGCCTGGTTTCACTTTGATACTCAATTGGATCCAGCTACTGGAATCTCGGGCTTCAACGTACAATTAACGGACCTCTCTACTGGCCAAGTCGAGACTTTTGACAACGGTGGTACAGGCGGATTCCCAGTGACTGACGGTTTGATTTATGCGGCAGATAGGTCTTGCTTGGATACTAACCCCGGAGCCGATGGAAACATGACCTTAAATGTTGTAGCTATGGTCCGAGAGGATCTGCTGCCGGCTGGCAGCGATGTCTATCTCGAGCTCACGCACCGAGTTCATCAGCAGAACATAATGTTACCCAGGCTGCAAACTGAGAGCACACCGATGGTTATGGGTAGCGCACATATCAGAGGTTTTGTGGAATTCACTAGAACGATTCCTCTGGCGGCAAACGGATGGAATACAGTTTTTGACATTGTGCTGGTGACGGGGGATGGGGAGCTGAGGTCTGATTTTCATAGTTCCGGCGCATTAACAAGTGCATCGTGCTCTTGAAATTTCCCTTCTTCATCTTCATATTCACCACAGGTGGCCACATAGTTTCAACTTCCTCCCGTCAGCATCTTCACCACAACTTTTGGAACCAAGCACAATTTCTACCTTGTCCTACTATTCTCTTTCTATACCTACCTACATCATGCCACTAGCCCAACGTAAAAAGGGGAAGTAAGAAACTAGCTAGGGTCTTCTGAAAGCGACACTCAATGGAAATTTTGCCTTGATCGAAGGCGTTATGCAACCACCGACAAGTCCCTTCGAGCGCAATACCAAGAAGCAAATCATTAGGTCTTTCTTCGATATACAGCGCAGAATTTACGGTTAACGGCAGTGTCTATGACGAGAGTCTCAATATACTTTAAGGTTACCCTAGTCTAGAGAGATATCTGCGGTTAAGGAATCCCAAGACATTCCCATACTCGTTAATAACGAGGATATAGGGTATTAAGATAAGTAACCTAGCCGTCCAAGGTATAAAAATAACGCCGTATATTATTAAATACACTCCTCATCATCGGTTATGCTCATCCGCTCAGGGGAAGACCTTATATTAGCCGCAGACTTTTCTAATCCTTACTAGCGATACTATTAAATCCTTCTTGAATCTACCTCGTTTATAATATCACGCAGCCTTCCGCCACGATTCGTCTACTTACTGACGTCTCTGCCCAGGTCTAGGAGGGAGGGTATAGTCAAGTCCGTTCTCGCCACAGGTCACTATCTCGAGCCTACGTGCACAGACTGGACGTTTATCCGCATGTACCATGTGGAGAGGCTATTCGATCATTCAGCTAGCCTTCCCTAATGAAACGACTATAATCCCAGACTCCAACCATACAGATCTTCTTCCGGCACCGCCACAAAAGCCCGAGAACGAAGGAAATTCCTCCAGTTTCAAAGTACTCAATTAATTTGGCCTGAGTTCACCGCGGAAGGGCCGACATGACCTCGGTTTAACAGTCTTTTTACAGCGAAGAAGAAGGCGTCCCAGAACGCCGGACTCGCCAGACTGCTCGTCCCAGAAGCCTCACTAAAACAACATGCATAAGGCAGTCAACATGCATACTTAAGCTCAAGTTTCAGCGCTAGATCTTACTACAATGGATCACTACTTCAACCATTCATTCCTCCAAAAATATCTACGAGCTGACTCTCTCGTTAATTACGACTAGATACTTAAGATTAGGATAGATATCGAATTTGACCATCTAACCTAGCGAGGTAGCCTCTCAAATATCGTCAATCTACTCCCATCTACTCCACCAGAGCTCAAGCAACATAAAGATCCATACCAATAGTATATCGCAGCGAATCACCCCGCAACGCGATCTCTCCCTTTAATCGCTCTATTGAGGCTTCATCTCATATAGCTTATGAGCCAAGCCTGAAGCATATCCACACATAGTCATAGTGGGGTTCCAACTGCCTGCAGTCGGGAAAAGGGCAGCTCCAGTAACGTAAATATTCTCAATCCCTTGAGGACGATAAAGCTCAACCACGGAACCAACAATCTCCTTCGGTCCCATAAAACAAGTGCTTAACTCGTAGACAATACCAAGTATGGGAATAGTATCGACTACTAGCCTCGTCTTAATCCAGCCATAAGTTATCTCATCCCACCATTCAATACTCGGCTCGTGTTCATTACCGCTTACCATTTATATAATAGTATTAAAGGTTGCCTCATCCATCACGTCCCAAGAGATACGATCGTCGTCGCTCAAGGTGTATTGCAAGGTAACGTTTCAAGTCGGGTCAGTGCCTTTATTAAGAGCGACATAATTCTTATTATTCTTCTCGCTAAACTCTCCAAGAGCCGAGCAGACTAAACAGTACCAGGTTAGCTTCGATCGTCTATATTACAAAAGACAGCTCCATACCAAACACAACGTAGTCCTCAGAGCCAATGAGTTAATCAAGGGTCGCCGCAGCAGCATAATATGGAAATTTGCGAGCCGCATCCTCTGCATCATTCTTAGAAATCGCCGTAACCGAAACGTAATATTATAGGCCAGTCTTAGGTTCTTTGCCGGCAAGGTATACAGCAGCAATCTTAAGTATCTCTTACTTCTTCTAACCCTTAACGTTCTTTACGGGACATCGTACAGAAATATATATATCGCAGTAGCCGGTAAATCTCTCACCGACAGTATCGCGGCAACTCTCAAAAGAGTTAAGCAATATAGTAGCATTAGGGACCGTTCCAGCGTAAAGGATAATCTGAGTCTTATTACCAGTCCACAATAAAGTACCCTTGCTGGTTTCGATCATGCGGACACAATCATCTTCGTCACCTTTCTCCATACTTTTCACCGCACAGTCAACTTTTTGTTTCCAAAGGCGCTCCATTATTAGCTTTAGCTAGTTATCTCTATCGTTTCAAGATGCCAAGACGATACCCAAGAACCGAAAACTTATCAAACCGCAGACGAGAAGTCGGGTTACGTCGCCCGACGGCAAGCGGGGCTAACTCAACATAGTCCGCAGTAGGAATATTGCTAATCGAATCTTTGAGAATGCGATCAATGCAGCTTGTAGGCTTTCAAAACGCCATCATTGATCTAAGATGCGGGTGTGACATTCAAGAGCCTCTTGGCCTCTTCCTAGAACCATTCGTGTTCAGCAGTCTTTTTCATAGCCTCGGGAAAGTCGCGCATGAGATCTAGACTCGGTCTCGGGCTCCAAGCCGACCAAAATGTAGATCGGCCACCGAAAAATGGGCAAGAGCCGTAGCAAAACCCAAGCTCCGTGTTTCGAAGGTCTTACGTGAGAGGGTCCAGGGAAATATCTCAGAGGGTCATCCCAGAATCATTTCGAAAAGAATTAGTAAATTCTAAAAGGGGGAGGGAAGCTAAAAGCTTGTAAGAAATTAAATATGAGACGGTAGCACTCATATAAAGGTGCACAGTAGTTCAAAAAGGAGTCATTACCTCCACGCTCCAAACAAAGGATCTTGACATAGGGGTCGAGTTCGACAGCCTTCTAATAAAGGCGAGAGCAGTAAAGCCTAAACCGATAACGATGTAATCAAAGTCTCCATGGGCTAGTATGCTCTCCCAAGTCTGGTCACTAAGCATTACTAAGGTAAGTACTAGTTCGTCGTACAGAATCCAAGTAGAATTGCTTCGTACCTCGCAAAGTAGTCGCGGGCCATAACCGACGTAGGAATAGGTTCCTACACGCCAGGCACAGGATACCCGTAGGTATTAGCTAGAAGAGGGCTAACGATCATTATGCTTCTACCAACACAGCAGTAAAAGCTAGGGATTGTCTTCTCTAGCATAGTCAGATAGTCTAGGAGGCTTTCGGTGTTCATGGTGGAGGGAGTAGTAGCAGGACTAAGCCTAGCTATATATTAAAGCAAGTAAAGGGTTTAATTCGTTTCTTTGCAGCCTGATTGTCTTAAATCTGTTAAAGAGCTTTCCAATGGTATTCGTTTTCTCGTAACATATAACACCTTTATAAGTTCAAGGGAAAAGAACTAATTTAGGAAGGCTACAAGAAGATCCACGGGAGTTTCGCCGACGTTTCGTTTGCCCCCAGCTTATTTCGATCCATCTGATTTCGAATCAGCTCATTTACCGTATCCCTACGTATCTTACATAACCACATTTGCATATATGGCTAACGGCGCGCCAAGCATTACGGCCTAATACGGCGGTACAACCCTCTAGAGCCGTTGGCGTTGTAGTTTTCTACCGCTGGCAAATGGCCTTGACAGTCAGCCCATAGTTATCTATGGTGACCGGAATAGAACAAAAAATTAAGACTGTTTTCATCATTATGTCTAAGACATCCGAGACAAGCTGAAAACCCTGATATGAAGGTTGACTGAATTGAATGTTTCAAACTTTCAATGAGGCTCTTACCCCGCACAAATCGTCTTGGCAGGGTTCACGAACTAACGGGCTTAGCGGCGGTGCTAACTATAGGCTGTCCTCAGCCGCTCTAGATGCGGCACGGCGCGACAAACCGTGGCAAGCTGAACTAGAACTTTGCTAACAGCCTAACATGAACCACGTTCTCGACGAAGGCCAAGCCTAAAATTTCCTTGGTACCCTGACAAGTGTCAATGTTGCCGATAGCCCGCTCCATACGACGGATTGCCGTTTTCGAGAGCTCGTATTCGGACTTCGCGAAGCCACTTCATATTCATCCCCTATGGCACCAGCAACTTTCCGCTCGTGGAGTTTGGAATGGCCATCGTGATGAATTCTAGCAAGTCTTGAAGGCTGGGCGACATAGAGCTTTGTTCGGATCAAGTCATTGACTATAGAAGTAGTGGGCTTGTGGCTGACTTCGAGTCGTCAGTCTTCAGTAGTGAGATCCCCTACCTCATATCTCCTTGCGAATCGCCCTGTTCCCATCTTGGCAGCACTTCCCCGAACCGCAGTGATTCGCATTGATGGATTGATGCCCAAAAGTCCTTCCCATTCTTCCATTCAAGGAAGTATCAAAAGGCGCAGAGAGAAAGAAGCTGTCAACCCAACTTCGTCTCGAATACATACGTTTCTATCCGAGCTAATGATAGACGCTCACGTTTCCGAGACGGTTTACTGCAGCCCGGGAAGGTGGCCGGATTTTGCCCTTGGCATCAAAATGGCTGCAGGTGGAATTAGTGCCAAGGAATTTGTCGGATCTCGGCGGCGGTCCTCTGATTATTACGGAAAGAAGGCACCTTTCCGTCCTTCAAACCAGTTTTGGTTGTCCAGGAGCCATGATGGTAGTAGAAAATGTCCTATCTTGGCTGACCACAAATTCGCGGCAACTTAGCAGGCAGCGGATGCTCAGGGGACAAGAGATTATGTTCCATGTGTGCGGAAGCCCTGGCTGGAATGTATCTAGAATCTGCTTCCTAGCACTTGATTGCACGCCCGCCAAGCGTTTGGGCGAATCGAGGCGGCACGGCACGCGATGAACCGTGGTGAGCCAACAGGCCTGGGCGGGATTCTAAATCGCTGTGAGTTGTGGATTGGGTCCTCGGTCCTTTCGTGGCT